GATTAGCAAAGTGGAATTAAGTAATCAATTTCAGATGCTCCATAAATATCCTGATAGGCCATTTCTTGGAGTTCACTGACCAGAGAAATCAAGAATCTGCGTACAGAATTGAACTTATCATGAAACCAAGTTGGTATAGTTACATTAGTTCAACCAAAATAGATCTGGGTAAAATGTTGTGGCCCTGCCTAACAGGATTGTTATGTTTTGGCTTTAGATATACACAATGAGATAAAAGTTTTGAGAGATCTTTGATGTGCTGTAAATCCCTAGTCTCTGAAGCCCATGAATATAATCATGTATCAACTTTTCAAAATAATTTTTGAAATTATCACTATTATTCACATTCTATTTCCTGTCTCTAAGTCCTACCATGACTTCATTGTTTTTTAATTCATGGCCTGTTTTTCGTTAACAACAGTTACACAGTAACTTACACAACAATTATTCTGAATTTGAACAATGTTTGGCTGTAGGACACACAGCTTCAAGGCAATGGTTGGACTGCCCTACATAATGAGTGTGTAATAGAAGGTGCACACAAAGAACCTTGTCCTTTAGATTAGAAACAGGATGTTCTCTAGGAGAGTAGAAGAATGTCTACTAAAGTACAAACTTTCTTGACTAGGGCCCTAGCCAAAGAAGGTCTCTGGGAAGGGTTAGTAATCAGTACTAGTGACAGGTAACTTGCAGGTTTTTTCCAGGGGTCTCCTCTTCTTCCATTGTAGTGAGTTGTAAGGAAGACTAAAAAGTATACTATGGGTAGTGTACGGTCTTCAGAACAGCTCTGTTGAGCTGTCATTTCTCCTGGGATTTGGATGCATTACACAATGGAGTATTACGGTACTCAGTGGTAATAATCAATTATATCATGCAATTTCATGATGGAATTGATGGAACTAGAAAAAAATCATCATCCTGAGTGAGGTAACCCAGACTGAAAGAGACAAACATAGAAGTATGTCCTCACTCATAAGTGGATATTAGAGTTAAAGTAAAGGATAAACAGACTACAATCCATAATCCCATAGAAGCCAGATAACAAGAAGGACCCTAAGAGGTACATGCATGGATAGCCCTAGCAAGGGGAAATAGATAAGATCTCCTGGTTAAACTGAGAGTGAGAGGGAGGGAGGAAGGAATGAGGGATAAGAACATGAGAGAATGGGGTAGCTGAATTTCAGGAGGGACTGGTAGGGAGAGCAAGGAAAGAAGTATCCTCATAGAGGGAGCAATTATGGGGTTAGGGAGTAACCTGGTACTAGAGAAATAACCAGTAATCCACAAGGATGACTTCAGATAAGACTGGCCTTCCCCTGTAATCAGATTGATGACTACCTATAGCAGACTTGGGGGGGTAGCCCCTTGATAGTCCTTTCCTAGGGTCGGGAAGAATGTACAATCAGCTGCATATCTTCATATTCAGTTTCTACATCCATGCTCATTTCTTCTTTTACTACCTTTCTGACCTGACTCAATCCTTGCCATCTACAAATACTCCGCCTTGTTCTTTCTTCTCTGGCCATGGGGCTCTGATCTGAGCTAATATTTGTACCACAGTTCTTCCTCACCTGGTATGCAAAAAA